TACCTGAAAAAATATGGCTGGGCAGGAGATATTTGACAATCAACATTCTGAGTGGAGGGTATTCGAAGCAATTGTCTTTATTGCCATTAAGTGTCCAGCATCAGTTAATATGTTGTTTTGGAATTGATACCTTTTAGGGGTGAAACAATATTCAAGCCACACCCACAAAACAGGATCTTGGTACCCCTTAGCGGTCATTTTCAAAATTTCTGAGGAGCACCCGCATCCTTTTTATATAGGAGTCTCCCCAGGCTCCCATTAGGCCACTATGCCATGAAGAAAGTACACAAATAATGGGAGATCAAGCTTACCACCTATCAAAAAATACTTTTTTGAGTGTTTAAAATTGAAAGAAAATAACCAACTTCCTTTTTGTCAAGTTGTAGACTTATTACTTTGCATTGTTGCCTCAGGATCTAACCTGTGTTGAAAAGTGGTTTTGGCCAGAAGAAAAAACTGAGCTGGATGACAAGGAAGAGAATGAAGAAGACAAGCAAGAACACAAGGATGAAGCAGAGGACGAAGAAGAGGAGGAGCTGGAGGTTTGTTGATAATTGGGGTTTTGAACAGATATTGCTTATCATATCCTGTGAGAATAAGGATGGGATGCTGGTCTGCTGGTACCCATTTATACACCTGGGTGGAGAACGGTACTGTGACAGTAAGAACACAACACAATGTCCCTGGCCAGGGCTCGAAACTGGACTGCTCAATTTGGAGGCAGGTGCACTAACCACTAGGCCACTGCACCTCCACAGATCTTTTAATTAGAGTATGAGAGTATGGTACTTAAAAACAAATCACTTGAGAGTTTTGAATGTTTCATGACATCATGTACATGAGCACTGACATGAGCACTGACATGAGCACTCTCAGCCTAAGCCATCACTCTTTGTTTAAGCAAACTGTTGTAAAGTGTATCAAAACAAGAAGGTTTTGATTGTTTAGTAAAACATTTGTGTCACCAGTTTGTTTTTTCCCTTGATAGCCATCAGAGAAGCTCGAGCACCTGACCATGTACCTCAGAAGAACCCATCAGTACTGTATTTGGTGTGGGACCAAGTTTGACGGTAAGCTGAACAACTACCTGAGTGGGGGACAGGGGTGTCTCTTGAAGCAGTCAATATGACTGAGTGTCAGCATGGTAGACAATTGGGATTCAAGTCCTCTGCCCTTGCCACTATCTGAATAGGCAACTTCTGTGTTGCCTTTTGCCACTGTATCAAAACAAGTCTTTGTGCAAAACCGTTCTTATGGGAATGCATTCCGCCTACATGTTCATTTTCATGCAAATCAAACTCATTTTCATATGAAAAGTTTTGCATGGAGAGTCATTTTGAAACAGAGGTGCAAGGTAACTCAGAAATGGCATATTTGTTTTCTGTAGTTGTGGGAATCAGCTTCTGGCCTTCTGTGAGTTGGGTGGCCTCTTTCAGGTGTTCAGTTAGTTGGGTTGCAGTGCAAAAAATGTCGAGCAAAAAAAAAGAGGGAGAGGCTGGGTGCAAGGAGCAATCTGATGCCACTTTCCTCACTAATTTTTTATCTTGATGTTTTTCCAACTGCTCTTTAACTACCCTGAAACCTGGAAGAATCCATCATTTGGGATTCTTAACATGCTATGTTATTTATCACAAAATATTTGTCTCCCCTCTTTTCAGTTGCATGCCTGGAAACTAGCTTTGAGCAAAGTGACCGCTATAACATAATACATTTTAATTAAAATTAACAGTTATTGATTCATGTCTCAGGCCGCATCAAAATTCATCATTGAACTAGGGTGCATGTAGGAAGTTAGGCCAGCAGAAAAGAAGTAGAAGAGTTGCTCAAGGCACAACTAAGAGCAACTCTGGTTTCTTGAGTGTAAACTAGCTGGTGATGTCCTGTAGACTCTACTTATCAAGTCTATGGAGTGCACCGTTACCATAGCTAAGTGTGTTGTCCAAGTAAAATAAATTGTACATCATCAACGTCAACAAGTACATCATAACTGGTCCAAAAACTCATTAATAATTCATAAAAGAGAATGTTTTTAATGAGTGTCTTTAAATTTGATCAAGACACGGCTGAATTTTACAGCCAATTTTCTCCAGAAAAATAATAATAAAACCAAGGATTATTCTACAAATGGGTAGATCTACCACAAACGTTTTTGAAGCTATTCAAAAAACTCGCTGCATGTGTTTCATCGGGTTTAAAACACTTGGCTACACCTCGTGTTTTAAATCCGATAAAACACTGCTGCTTGTTTTTTAAATATTACATAATGCACAGCTAAAAACATGAATCAATATCGTTTCACAACAATGCAAATGGAATAAATTCCTCTTGTGAAATCAAGTTAATCATTGGATTATGAGGCACTTTTATGTATTCTGAGTTTGATAGGGCAGGGTTGTCTATTGGTACTCTACCTTCCTACCATCCGAGAGTTTCAAGTTTGAGCAAGGGTTGTATCCCTGTGTTATGTTCTCTCGTCTCACAGCCATTCTGTTCACCAATTGGTGTATGTAGGTTTAGCTGAATTAATTTTTTATGCTGCCATTTACTTGACCATGGCAGTGTTGAACCAGAAAGCTCTTGCTACTTTGGCCACTGCTCACACAAATTTTATTTCCTTATGGCTTTATGTTTCTAAACTTTTTTTTACCATTTTCATTACTTTACGTATGAAATGTATCTAAAAGCCCTATACGGCGTAAATAAAGAATTGAATTAAGGGTAACCTTATAAAAACGCCCTGGTGGGTGGGGGTAATATATGATAGATTACTTTTCCGTACAAGCTGGGTGTGGTAATGCTTGCTTGCTTGCATCTAACCGCTACTAGGCGCCAATAATTTATTGACCGCAAAGACTTCATTTAAAGTATAACCAGCAAAAATAATGCCCTGTTCAAGGCTAACAGTTCACTTTGGTTTTAGATGATCGAGATATGGCAGATAATTGCCCAGGAGATACGGCACAGGACCACGAATAACAAGAGGACAAGTGAATAAGTAAAGAGACCATACGACATTTGACGACTTGGCATCCAGAGCGAGAAGCTTTAGTTCAAAAACGAAGACCAACGGATGTTACGAGCAGACGCGAGGGAAAACCGATTAAAAGCGATCTGACCCTGATGTGATGTCACGACTAAAGTCGAGTTGTAATCGAACGAATGCTATCAGAAGCCGGCGGCCTATCGATTGAAAAGTGAGCCGGAGTAGGCTCGGGCGCTAAATTTACACAGAGCACTCAGGACTTGTAAATAGTGAATGAAAATATTGATAACTGTATGCATGTAGAAACATTGTTTTTGTAACTGAAGAAAAATTATTTCGGTGTATAATTGTAGTATCTTGAAATATATTAGTCTAAAGAAGTAACGTCAACAATGGAGTTATCAAGATTACCTGGAATCATAATTTATTCATGTTTTTAGAAAAGTTGAATGCTGTATTGCTCATAACGAGAATCAAATTAAGTTGTTTTTCGTTTACCAGCCTCTTGGGAAATGTACTTAACCTTATTTGATGTTTCTTTAGATTGATGTTATTACCGGCATTATACGTTTTTCCCAAGACATCAGCTAGTGGAAGATATTTTAAAAGTAAAATGGTAGTTATGTATTTAATTAGAGTGGCAAATTTTCAGAGATGAAGAGACGAAATGACGTTCGCTGCTGTAGGTCTCTTTTTGAAAAAAAGTTCTTAAAACAATACTTTAGAAAGCAATTACAAAGTGTGAATTGGCTTTTTGTTTTAATCACTGGTTTTAATTTACTGGGCGGTAAAATGAATGTTTTCCATCTAAAACGTCAAGATGTATAAGTTATTCGACCTTGCAGAGTGAAACTGAAGAGGTTGCGTCTCTTTACTGACAGGGTAAGCCTATGAAAAGTTACGTTCTCGGCGTGACCGGTCAATTCTCTGAGGTGCAGTGTTTGGTTTTTAGTCGGTTTCACTCCGCATGGAATTGTCCGTGGTCAAACCGTGCCGAAAAACAATGCGTTGTCATGGATCTTTATAGGTAATGAAACTACTTTCACAAAGCCTCTCTCCGATTATAAGTGGGTATACTGGTGAAGTGTTGAAGCAA